AAACATAGATCCAAGGTTTCTAGGGTTGCATGTACACTTTAGGAGTGTTAGAATGCTCAAAACCCTTCATAAACAACATACCCAACGTACTACAATACTTTCTAGGCTCTCCTAGGAATTCTCCTCTCACACGTACGGGAAAGGTCGTCGCCGAACGGAAAACCACTCAATGAATGCAGGTCGCACAAAATCCCAATAATATAGATGTTCGAATATATGTCTCTACCATAAGGCCTTCATCAAACAAGAACATGTAATAAGGCTGAATCAAACATTCTCAGACTATTCACTATTGACTATGTACTACCCTATTGCATTCATCAAATAATTTCCAGTATTAGCAAGACCCTAAAGCACCTAAGCAATCCACACATAACATGCATATAAAGGCATCTCTCATAACATGCATATTTATCATGCAATCTTGAGCAAATCTTTAGCGCTATACTAGCCTGCAATTCACATATCATCATACTAAAGCATAACATTCATGTGTGGGTTTTTTGGGAATCACTTACTTGAGCTCGGCTGATTGCACACATCGCACCCCTTTCTTTGTAAAAACCTTTTTAGAAAGTTGTTTTCTTTTACACACATCGCACCCCTTTCTTTGTAAAAACCTTTTTAGAAAGTTGTTTTCTTTTAAAAGAGTTTATCAATTCCTCAAACTGAGTTCAGACCCACCCGAGAACGACCCTGAATCCCTCAAACCAAGGCTCTGATACCAACTTGTAACATCCCAAAAATAATAGGTAAATTTTTTATTTTTAAAACAAACCAAAAGCATTCCCCCATTCATTCCCAAAAATATAATCAGAGTATAATATATTCACAAACATCAAATATCAATTGTAAAAGATGGTTCATAAAACTCTAGGGGATGCAATGCGATCAAGTTCAGAACTTCCATTTGGAACCAGAAGTACCTGCAACATTTCAAACATAAAACTGTAAGCACAAGTATAGTGAGTTTCTCAAAATACCACATAACATACATATCAGTGGGCCGAGTCCTAGGGGTATCGTTTAACCCATGTGAATGTTATGATCCACCCATATTCTTACAATCACTTCCGTTGCTACAACCCTACTGCAGTCTTTCCTGCCATGATCCAACCATAGTCTACCATACAAGTTGCGTGATCCAACCACAATCTTTCATACAAGTGATGTGATCTTACAACAGTCTTTCATGCAAAAGTCACAAAGACAGTCTATCATCCTACATAGTATAGTGAGAAGACTCACCTCACAATGCAATCGACAACTAACAGGATCACACAGTTGAAAGCAAATGTTACACACCTCCTAATGAATCATACAAGGTAAACCATTAGTCAACCTTCTAAAACTAGTAATATTACTAAAAGTGAACCAAGTCAAAAAGTCAGCGGTCAATGTCAATGGTCAAAGTCAACTCTAGTTGACCTCCATGTTGTGGCCAACCAATAGCTACGTCATGGCAATTCAACTTGACCCCGATCAAAATCCGCTACCACGTCATGGCTGGCATGCCACCATGCTGTGGCAAAGTCCAAACAAAATAATCGTGACCAGACCAGCCTCCACGTTGTGGCAAGCAAGTCACCACGTCGTGGAAAGTACATAAAGACAGCTTAATGGATTAAGCTCTCAATCCATTAAGTCTTGAGCTCTAACTTTCCAGAATGCTTCTTGGGACCTTAATGGTTCAGAAAAATATGAACTTTATGGACATTCATGACTCATGCATGTCTTTCACCTATCTAGGTCAAAATATGAGAAAAATGACATAAACTCTATACATGACTCTAAAAACTCAACCAACTTCTAGATCCATAAGGTATTAAGCTCAAGGGACCTTGATGAGTCATAAAGTTACAAACTTTATCTCATTGAATCATTCAAATCACAAATATGAACCCAAATATGCAATTAACCCTAGATCTACTAAGAAGTGACCAAAAAGATCAAGTCTTGAAGTCTTACAAATGGTCCAGAAAGTGATCCTAAAGATGGAGAGGATTTGCTTACTTGGTCTTGTAGTAAAATCTTATTCTTATTCCTTGCATCGAAGGACATCAAAATGAGCTCAAAGCTTGCAAAGAGGCTACGGTTGCACAAGGATACTTTTGGAGGTGATGGAGGCTGAGGGTAGAAAAAACATATCCATCACTTCCTTTAAATAGGGTCTTGAGCCCGGAATTTAGGGTTTTACACATCTGCGCCACCATGCCGTGGCCAATAAATGTCCATGTCGTGGTGGCCAAGTGAAACACGCGTTTCATGTAGAAATGTCACGTCGTGGCCAACCATATTTCTTAAAATTAATAATTGAAACTCATACCTGGAATCGGGCGTTATAGTAATGAATCTAGGATGCTATAATACACAAATAAATGAAAAAGAACGTTGCTATTTCTTGCATTTAACCCAAAATATTTTAGTATTTAGCTAAGGCAATCTATCACAAATCCAGAAGGGATTCTCCTTTTGCAAAAGAAAAAAACATCTTTCTTTATAATGTGGCACTTATATTTGTTACAAATTTAATAAACTGGAATATTTATACATGATGCTTACCCCCTTAATGTTTTTTTAGATAAGTTGATGTATATTTACAACTATGTGGAGATGGCTCGAGTCACCGGTGTTCCCATATCATTTCTCCTTTCTAGACTATACAGTACCAAGGTTATCTTCTATGAAAGAATTGGATTTTGGGATTATCTTATATGGAAGTATTAGTTAGATTTTTAAATTTAATTGTTAAAGGTGCCAAGGTAGACTTGAACACAAATTTTATCCTTTAACATATATAACATTTTGTGCACATTGGTTAAATAATGATTACATGATTATGTAACCCATAATATCAATTTTTTTTTTACATTTATCTACATTTGAAAGGATTCTTTATATTTGACATACTACATTTTATGCAATAGTTTGTTTCTTTTTTATGTATGATATTTTATTTTGTATTATGAGACATTAAATATGTGTTTTAATTTGAATACTAGTAAATCTAGGAAAACAATATTATAAAAAATATAATCATGACATACAAATTGTCTATCTTAATTGTATGTCATTTATTGTTTTTCATATATTTAAAAAAAAGTCAAAATTAACGACATACAAAATCTCGGCCACGAATATGTCATAAATGTGAATATATGTCATAAATGTATGTTGTAAGTGTATGTCGACTATATTTATGATGGCTGCTTTAATAATACATATTTGTGAGTCATGTTTACCCTTTAATGACATGCAATATGGTCATTAAAGGCCTTTTCCTAGTAGTGTTAATAGTGGTCATGAGAAAAGAAAGGGTTTCTAAATGTCGGCAACAACAAGAAGGAGTCGCAGTTTGAGGGTAATCTTATTTTGTTGGTTTATTGGTGTAGTAAGAATATGAGATTTGAAAAATAAATCTGGGAATAGTTGATGTATTATTTTGAAGGTTTATTGATAATAAAACATAAGATGTTTTATAAAATGGTTGAATTTTGGGAATGTCACAACTTTGTCATGTTAAAATAACATTAAACGGAGTTAATATAAATAAAAAAAAAGGATGTATGTGCGTCATAACATTATAGACATGACTTTATTCTGGAGACAAGTTTCCAAGTTTTCTGGACGAGTTCATCTATCACAATTTAGTTCATGGTGTTATTGAATAATTCATCGCATTTCGAAAATGTATGAATGTGGGTTTAATAAAAATTATATGCAATTTCTAGCACACTACTATTTAATATCTAGCATATGTAGAGCTAACTAGTGACCTATGTTAAGTTTATATTCTTTTTGACATACGAAAATCCACAACGTCCAGACATATTCATCATATTTTGGAGAATGATTTTTGTTCCGGGTACGTTTTTGTCCGGTTAATTTCACAAGATTAAGTTATGAAAAAGTTTAAGATAGCAACAATATACTCGCAACACCATAATTTCTTTACAATCGGAGTCCATTATCGTCAAAGTCGAGAGGTTCCAAGATACTATTGATGGTTATGGCTCAGACCACATTACGGATACCCTTTGAGTATGAAAGAGCACTCATCCAGATGGGTAATTCATTTATATACGATCCGGAAAGAACCCTTCCGGATTCATGAACCATTTTTTTGGTATGCAAATCAAAAGGTTGTTTTCCTTGGCAATTTGTTACTTACCAATTAGTTGTCAGTTTTATAAATATGATTATTATTAAGGGGGTGTTTGGTTAAGTTTATACAAACTCCTTTTTAGCTTATTACCAGTTCTATACCGGTATAAGTTAAAAATAGTGTTTGGATAGAAATAATTTATATCGGTATCATGCTGATAATAAGTCAAAATTAATAAGTAAGACAATCCTAATTTATCAGCTATAAGTTATAAGTTGAAAAGTGCTTATAATTTTTCATAATCATAACCTTGGCCAAACACCCTCTAATCCTGGTAAAAATATGATATATCTACTATTATACTTGAAAAAAACTACAAAATTGGTTTTACCCATTAGTATGAGTGGGTCCAATATCTTTTCGATTTATTCGCCTAACTTAACATAAGAACAAAAAAAGCATATCTCATTATATAGTAACCAACGCCATTTTTCGTAACAAATCAAGAACAATAAATTACATTCATTGCAATTGTTTTTTCGCCGGCCAAGACACAACCAATTAACACCTGGGCAAGTAAAGTAACCCCACGTATATAAAACCAATTTGATGCTGATTGACCCCTGTTTTCTTTCTTTAGCTCTCCACTTTTTTCCAAGAACCCGTAAATCACTTTACTCTCATTGCGATCAAGATGAATGATTTGCTCAGTGTAAGTTTGATTCTACACCTTTGTTCTTATGGTAATTGTTCTTAATTTCAAGTTTCGTTGGCTCTTATTGAATTAATTTCAGTTTTGCTTTACTTGTTCTTTGTTAGGGTTTTTCCATAATTGCGTGATCAGTAATCTTAATTTGGGATTTTGAACTGTTTCTTCGTATTGGTCTTGATCGTAATTGAATTTGGCTTTCTTTTCCGTGTTGATTGTATACCTTCGTGATCAGTTTTTGGGTTTTGTTAATCCACTAAAGCAAATTAATTTGGCAATTTTCGACATGATTAAGAACAAAGAAAACCTGAGGAATCTTTTTGAAGACCGATTATATTTGTAGTAATTGATTGCTTGATTGATATGAACTGAATTTGCTTATTGAAGTAACTTTTGATCAAAATTGAAGTGGGGTTTTTCTTAAATTTCGTATTTTTTGTGTCAAGTATCGAGCTTTTTTCACTTTAAGTTTGACTTTTTTCTAACGTTTTCTTGTAATGTTCATGTATTTAAAGTATCATTTTCAAAATCCGAGTAAACAGTTATGATGTTTTCTTTTATTCTGTTTCTTATGAACTTCACTCCTCATTCCTCCTATATGTACACATGATCATTGCAGAATCTTGAAGCTTTTTAAAAAAATATAGCAATTTTATCGAGTTTTTTATTTTTCAGGAATCGTTTGTGAGTGATGCGAGAGAGCATCCTCCAAGAGATATGGATATTCAGATGAGTACTCGACTTCCTAGAAGTAATTCAGACATGGGAATGGAAACTTTTAATAAGCAGGTATACCCTCTTTAAATTCGTTCATATCTCTAGTTTGGTCAAACTTTCTAAGGATTTTTTTTTTTTTTTTGATAAAAATAAGAAGGGTATTTACGTCTTTTGTACAAACCTCTCCAAAATTTCAAATTTTGTCCCATTGACATCAGTTCCAGTCCCTTTTTTTTAGTGGGACACGAATTGCAACTTTTTTGATATTGAAATCGGACCCAATTTTTTGGCCCATTGACATCAGTTTTAGTCTCAGCACAATGCACGCCAAACACAATACAAAATCTTAATTATTTTAGGTTATTTCTTGAGTAAATTACACGAATGGTCCCTATGGTTTGGGTAATTTGCACGTTTGGTTCCTAACTTATCTTTTTAACTTGGAAGGTCCCTATTGTTTGTTTTTGTTACGTACTTGGTCCCTGTCTTACCTAAAAAGACTATTTTTCCCTTGATTTTTGTAATTTATTTAAATAAGCACGCCCCCAACCCCACCCCTTCATCTTACCTTACCTTCCCCACAATTTTTCCCTATTAAAATAATAGTCTTTTTAGGTAAGACATGGACCAAGCGTGTAACAAAAAAAACATTAGGGACCAAGCGCGTAACAAAAACAAATAATAGGGACCTCCCGAGTTAAAAAAATAAGTTAGGGACCAAGCGTGCAAATTACCCCAAATCATAAGGACCATTCGTGTAATTTACTCTTATTTCTTTAATATTCCCTTCTTTTTTGTGACAATGTCTTTTTTTCATCAAACATAGATACAAGAAATAGAGAAACAAGTGGATAAGCTTTCGGGGTTATTGAAAAAACTCAAGGTATGAAAAACTTTCTTAAAATAAACTTATACGGGGCTCATGAAATAAAATTCTATGGAATCTTGTTTATAAACGTGTTTTTCAGGATTCTAACGAGGAGTCAAAATCCGTTACAAAAGCATCTTCCATGAAAGGTTGGTTTTTTTGATAATTTTGAAATATTTTTATTGTTTATTTGTTTGATTATGAAAAATTCTGTGTTTTCAGCTATTAGGAAACGAATGGAGAAAGACGTTGATGAAGTGGGAAAGATTGCACGTAATGTAAAAGTGAAAATAGAAGCAGTCAATAAAGAGGTATTTTCTCTTTTAATATTATATTATGGCACAAATAATATGAAGTTTTTAAAATTTTCTAAAAGTTGAGCTTTCTATTTGTAATCATCAATATAAACAAGATTGTTAAGTGTTAGTATAATTCATATGCAAAATTTTATTACACGTTTTAATTTTCTAAGTTAATGGTGTCCACAGAATTTAGCCAATCGACAAAAACCGGGTTGTGGGCCCGGGACCGGTGTAGACCGCTCTCGTACAAATATGACAAAGTAAGTTTTAGTTATATTTCCTATTTTTGTATATTAATCGAAGGAAGACATAAATGAGCGAAATTTTTGTAAAATGTTAGGACTTAATATGGAAAACCTAATTTCCTTGACTTTTTCTATTAAGTCGTTCTTTTACTGCATCAAGTAAAAAGAAACACCTATATATAGCTTACAAGATATTAAGTGTTCTCTCCATTTACTCGATTAGGTCAAAAATAAAAAGCATTTCGTTTGAAAATTCATTTTGGAACCTTTACTTTCAAATTTCAGTTCTTTGGCTAAGAAGTTCCGGGACATAATGACGGAATTTCAGGTAATAAAGATTTTTGTATTTACTTGTTTTTTTGTCCATCAAATATCCATTGCAATATAATGAATTCATTTTTCATCACTTTCAGACTTTAAGGCAAAAGATCGATGATGAATACCGTGAGGTTGTGGAAAGAAGAGTCATAACAGGTTCGGTTTTACCTAAAAGTCAAACATTTGACTCTTCAAGTTAAATAAAATTTCTTTTGACATTAACAGTAGAAATGCACACAACCGGGTCAGTCCGTCTGTATACAGACGGACCAGTCCGATCATGCATCAGACCGGATCATATGTACAGTCCGTCTGTAATGCATCAGACCGGATCATATGTACAGTCCGTCTGTACGGACCAGTCCGATCATGCATCAGACCGGATCATAACATATGATCCGGTCTGGTCCGAAAAAGTCCGTTATAGGTCTTTTTGTGTGCCTCAAATTTATGGTGGATTCTCGTTGCGTTGATTGACTGAATGGTTTTAGTTTAATTTTTGGTCTTTTAAATTCGATAAACGAGCAGTTACGGGAACCCGACCCGATGAAGAGGTGAGCATGAATTCTGACCCGGATGAAGTATTTTGGTGTAATATTACCTTTTTTTTTTCTTTAAATTTTAGCTTAATGGATTGACTGTTGTGTTACAGACAATCAACAACCTTATAGAAACTGGAAATAGCGAACAAATATTTCAGAATGCTATGAAAGAAATGGGGCGAGGACAAGTAAGCATGTTGTTGAGTCTGAATGGAACTGAATTAGATTTAGAAGCCGAAAAAATATAAATATAGAAAAGCACTTATATTTTTATGTCAATTTAACTATTTTCTATAGTGATTAAACCATTTTACTTTTTTATCATGTTTGAACTATCGGTTTTTTACCCGATCTGGACAGAAGGACAAAATAACAAAATACAGGAAATGAAATCGTACTTTCGCTATTATATGAATTTAGTCGCTAAACTGATAAATTTTTTTTTTGTGATTATTATATTAATATTTCAGTGACTTAATCAATAAAATTTTGAAAGTTTATAATGTTTTTATGTATTTTCCGATATGTCAAAACCAGGTAGCTTGGAAAAATGAATTTTTTAAAAAGTAAAAATATAGTAAAATGTTTTAATCGTAAGAAAGAATAATCTAAGTTGTTAACGTATATCTGAATTGCAACATTTGAAATGCAATTACGGATAGATTTAGGAATTTCTAATTCCAATTTACATTGTTTTTCACAAAAGGTACTAAATACATTGGAAGAAATCCAAGAACGACACGATGCAGTGAGGGAAATTGAAAAGAAGCTTTTAGACCTACATCAGGTAATTCATTTGACTTTGACCAGAAGGTCAACTCTAGATTTCCTATGTGGCATATTTCTATTGGATAAAATACTTGTTAATGTTGTCAGATATACCTTGATATGGCGGTTCTTGTAGAGGCTCAAGGAGACCTATTGGATAATATTGAAAGCCAGGTATGCTTTCTTACTCTATAAAAATATCTTTTTTTCAAGCATTTATCCCAAATTCGAAGCAATCATGCCTTGTTGAGTTGTACATTGTGCATTGTAAGTTGTATGTTACTTTGGATTTTGCCAATTTAATCTCCAAGAAAGGGATAAATGTCGTTTCTGAAAATGTGGATGATAGGGTAAAATTGTCATTTACTCACATTAAAATAGTTTATCCGGTGCAAAAAAAAAAAAAACTTTGTATATTAATTTTAGAAAAACACTTGTATTCAGTATATACTATATACGAATATACACATTAAACCCATAAAAAAAAATCCAAAACAGTAATTCTAATATGACTTGTACGGTTGTACCTCATGCATTAGAAGTTATGTCTTATTCTGAATTTGTCATTTTAAACTAGGAAAAAAGACCAATATAATTCTATAATATAAAAGTTGTTCATTTCTATGCATATTTCCAAAAGGGTAAAAAGATCTTATTGAATAAGATCATGCAATAGTGAGTTGTACCTCATGCACAAGTAGTTGTACCTTCCTCGGGTTGGTAATATGAGGTTCTACATGGCTGGTACATTGTGCATCGAGACTTGTACATTGACTGTAAAACATTGATTCAGGTAACGAATGCAGTTGATCATGTCCAATCAGGGACAACTGCATTACAAACTGCAAAGAAACTACAGAAGAACAGTAGAAAATGCATGTGTATTGCAATAATTTTACTGTTAATTATAATAGCTATAGTTGTAGTTGCTGTTATTCAGCCATGGAAAAGTGGCAAGGGAGCTTGACTCGTCTAATATTACAAACGAGTCACATGTGCAAATTTTTGTGTTTCATAGTTTTTTTTTTTTTT